ACTGGGGACAGCTCATTGAAATGTGGCACATTGCAGAGGCGAGGTGCTGACCCAGGAGGAGTGGGGTGAGGTGCAGTGAGGCAGGAGTTGGGGAGCTGGAGACTGAGGGGTCTGGAGCAGTGGGGGTCCCCTGTCTCACAGTCGATGCTGTGACACATGTGCCCAGTGGGAGCTTTACGTGTGACCACAGGGACCTGGTCCTGCTGTGCTCTCTCTGCTCTCACTCTGTGCAGGGTGAGGGAAAAGTCATTTTAAAGAGATTTTACAGTCAGATATTTGTGAGGAAGGGCATATGTATGGATGTGTGTGTGCCCGCGTGTGTTAGTAGATTTCTTATGGAACAGAAGATAAAATAAGTGGGAATATAGAGAGACACCTACTAAAAATGTTACACATCTTACAAAGTTTATTTTCAGAAGTCCAAAATTAGCTTCTATATTAAGAAGAGTTTTATGTACTTAATTTTTAGAGGCAATATAAAAAAAGGTTCCTAAATAAATGATTTTAAAATCAGAAACTGAAATACAGTTGTAGAGTATGGGACATTAGCATATTCCTTTTATTTTTAAAGAAACCATGTAAATTTTTTCTATTTAATTATAAAAGTGATATTTGCTCATTATTTTAGAATTCAGAAGTGTCAAGAAAAAAAAAAAAACACGTCTGACTAGTCACTATTCCTCTTGTCCAGATAACATTCTAGAATTTCATTTGAATGTGACTTTTTTATGTATGCATTTTATACAGTTGACAATGTACTGAGTCTAAAATGTTCTATTTTGCATTTTACACGAAATAGTATATGAAGGGCATTTTTCTCATCATTAACTAGTCTTCATAGATATATTTTTCATGGCTGAAGGTGAAATAAACACATTTGTCATAAATCTTTGACTTTTAATTTTGGGGGAAGGACTTTTATAAGTGGAGTCTTAAGCCCAGGGATGTAAAGGTTCATAGACTCTTGGTGTAACTTGACTGCTGATTGTTTTAGAAATGTTTCTTCAGACGCATGACCACCTGTCTCACTGGGCTCTTGGAGTGTCTGGCTTTTAACATATAGGTGTGTTTGTTATTCGCTAGTACCTTGGTCATTCTTTTATTTTAGCACTTAGTACATGTATTACATTTAATGTTTGTGGTACCAAAATGTATCACAAAAAGCTGTAGAATATTTGTCATAAGCACCTTCGTCTGCAGATAGTGCCGTTTATATATCTTTATGTAATCACGAACTATGCAAATGAGGTAGACATAATGGATTATCTAGAAATGTTTGATCAATGAGTGAATATATAAACAAATGACTCCTTGGCTATTTTGAAACCTTTTGTGGAAGTGTGGGAATCAAATAAATCCTTCAGGGAATTTAGATCATTAGTATAAATGTGCAGGATATAGGCAGAAATGAGAAAGTAAATTAGATACTTGCATCGTAATGAATTTTATAATCTATAAAGATTTTCTTAATTGTTAAAGGTGCCATGCTTTTATATATTATGTCCAGAAGTATTTTGACTGTTTTAGAGAGATCCTAAGAAATGTGCCAACCTATTTCAGAAGTGCTTTCTCTTGACTTTCTTTTTTAAGAACTGTGTAATTTTCTTTTTTATGCAGTTCAGATTTTCTTTAGTAAAGCTGGAGGTCTTTTGGTTCAAATGAAACTTAATTTTGAAAAAAAAATATCGATATGTATATGTGTTTATAGAGAATTTATTAGGCAATTATTGAAATTTAGCATGAATTTTTCAAAATTCATTAGCAAAATTTGCCCATAGGGCTAAGTAAAAGCGGCCCATCATGCACTTGTGTGTACAGTCATCTCTCCTCCCACCACCCCTTCACACTGTCGTGTCTTTATGTAGTGCTTCTGACCCATGCTCACATTATCTCATCTGCTTTCATCTGAGTTCCCCAAATAAATTGTAAGCTTCTTCACACCAAATAGAGCATTCTTCTATTTTGGTCATATCCCGCACAGAACCTAAATGTCATTATTTATTTATTTACTTATTTACATAGTGCCAAACAAGTGATTTACAGGGATCAATTCATTCAATCCTCTAACAATCTTTTCGGACAGCTACTATTATTAGCCTGATTTTCTAGATGAGGCAACTGAGGTTAGAAAAATTAACTGACTTTCTAGGGTCACACTTCTAGAATGTGGAGGAGCTGGAATCAAACCCAGGCTGTCTGGATCCAGCATCAGTAGTGCAGACACAACATTATGTCATGTCATCAGAATCCCTGATAACCACAGGAGCAGAAGCACATCTCCACAAACACCCCCCAGGACACAGCGTTACATGCAAACATAGCTGAGAGCTCTCTGAAGATCCTTACAATGCTCCAGTAACTTACCTCTTCACCTTGGGAAGCCCTTCAACTAACTGGGCCTCCATCCCTTCCTTACCTGATAATGCTGAAATATACACCCACTTAGAAGGATTTGGTGAAGACAGGGTAGGATCGTCCATGTTAATCAGCAACACAGGCTCTGACATGTGCTACTGAGGAAAAGAGGAACAGCTGCTCTGCTAAATACACACTTGCTGTGCTGACCAGTCTGTCGGCCTTTAACAAATCCTACAGACAGCTAAAGAGAAGTGTGAGGGAGGTGCATCTCTGCATGCTTTCATGTATATTTTTTTAATGTCCTCAACAGCCTCTTAGCCATGTGTAGATTAGAAACCATCAACTCAAAATGATGGGAGGCTGTTGGAGCCATGCACAGACCTCGGGGGAAATGACTCTGACATTCTGAAATCAAGGCAGGAGACAGGAAAATAGAACCCCGGGACGAGGAGCTCTGGGGGTACTCATGGGCTGATCTGTGTCACTGAAACAAGATCACATTATCTCAGGCCTTCCTGTCTTCACCAGACAGATTCAAAAAATGATTCGACCATAAATGTATTAAGGCCAGCCTCACTTAGGGAGAATTTACTCTCAAGTGTAGCATGTTTTCCCCCAGCAATGCCAAGTGAGGTATGATTAAAAGATTTTGGGCAGACCATTAGTTCATTCATTCATTCATTCACTAAACTAATATTTATCAGTTCTGGGTACTGTGCTAGGTACTGGGTGCTACATGCTGGGTACTGTGCTAGGTACTAGGAATAGATACATGACTGAACAAAACAGACATAAATTTTAATCATCATAATGTATTCATGTGTTTGTCTTTTATTGAATGAATGTTTGTGGAAACACCATTATGTGCCTAACAGCATGTTAGACGCCTGGGATAAGGCAGTAGAATAACACACGCAGTTTTGGAAGCCCCTACATCCTTGGAGATAATTATTTGAGATCACCCTAGGGTGTGAATGTAGCCTCACGTGTTGTTGCTTGGACACCAGTGGAACTACCATCTATAGTTCTACAGAGCTAGAAAATGTGCCTCTTAGGCTGGCGACTTCCATTGCAGTCATGGGTCTGTCCACCTAGGCTGGGTTGAAAAACAGTTGGGAAAATTATTTCATCTAATGAGCAAACAAATGCCTGGTTAAATTATTTGTGCATTCCCTTTCATCTTTTTCCAGCCACATTTTAATCATTATAGACCTTGAAGCAGTAAGTCCAGCAATGCTGCATTTCAGGGTTAGTGTCCAGCCCAGCTTCTAATTCCCTCCAACTCAGCACTTTGCTTCCACAGTTGGCGTTTTTATCTTCCCTCTTTCACTGACTAGGTGTTGATTCCAGGACTTGCTGATTATCTTTTTTTTATTATTTTTAAGATAAATCAGTGTCTGTG